CCAAAGCGAGCCCAGGCTTTGAGTGGAACCGTAATGGTGTTCCTGTAAGGCTGTCGTACCTCACTGATCTTTAGAAAGACTCCGTACCGGTTAGACCCGACATCAAAGTAAAACCTCTTGTTGTCCACTCGGAAGGACGCAGCCTCTGGGAGCTCTGGCTCGTCTTCGTGGTTCCGTACTGCCTGGCCGCGGTCCTCGCCGTCGTCGTCCCCATAGTCCTCAATTAGCTGCGACAGCGCGTCTCTGAACTCAATGAGACCCTGCGCGGGCAGCACGATGGTTTGCTCAATGCCCTGGCCATAGTAACCCATGGTGCCGTATCCCTTACTGACAGTTTGTCGAATGCGAAGGAACCTGCCCCTTTGGTTCTCTTTCAGATCCAAAAAGTACTTTCTGTTGTCCCTTTCTATAAACTCGCTTTTGAGCACACGGTGCGCGTGGTCTTCAGATGCCGCGGACCCGGTAGGAGACAGTTGCTGCTCCTGTGGTCTCCTGCGCGTGTCCTCAAGATTAGGGGGCACAATGCTACCCCGCAGCCCAATCCTGGCATAGTAGTCTATAAAGTCCCCCAGACAGTAGCGCAAAGCCGGTGCCATGGACATGGACAGAGTGAGTTTACTCTTTCTGATGTTGTCATGGCGCCCCCTGCCAATCCAAACCTCTGCGATTTTTAGGAAGCGTCCGCGTACGCTCTGCTTCACGTCCAGGTAGAAGCGCTTCTTTTGGATGTCCACGCGCTTGGAGGCCAGCTCTTGGATATCACTGCCCTGTTGAGGAGGTTGCGTGGAGCCGGTCTGAACGAACTGTTGAGGAGGATATGTTCTTTGAGAAGAAGGATCTGATGCAATCTTACCCCTGACTCTTTCCATGCTTCTGCAACATCCATCAGCCATCATGGTTTATATTCCCCCAGTAAACAGTGCAACACAAAGCGATGCCCCCATGCCAGTGACAGCCGAAAAGGAGAGCTAATCCATGCAACAACTGCTGCTGGCTGCGGGAAACAACTCCTATCCTCAAATGACCCGAAAATGGCAGCTAGTTTGGAGTCGTCAGCTGTTCCAGTTTCCTTGTCCTGGCAGAAAGGTCAAAGTACACTATTTAACTACTCTCTCGCAAACGCCAAAGCGTCTTCCATCACCTTTTTGCCTAAAAGATACCCCTTTGCTGAAGGAGTCAGAGAAGCAGCCAACCTGAAATGGGAGGAGGCGTACAATACTACATGAACCCGTTGAACCTATCCACCCCCTCCCTGTCCTGAGAATACCTCTGTTAAAGGGACATGCCGTACACACGCACGCACAAATGCACACCAAATTTACACGAAGCATGTTTAGCCTTTGAAAGAAATCTACGCATATGTATTTTTGTCATAAAGTACAAATAATCAATCCGAAGCATGTCGATCATTGGACTGTTCGACTGCTTGCTGAATAAAATAAACATGAATAAAGGAGTTGCGTCAATTGACGCAGGATTAAAATGACTGTTAATAGGGCGCTATATATACTAAAAAATTGTAACAGTTTTAGTAGTTGGTTTTATTAGACTACAACAAACATGTTATTGCTGACCCAAGGTAATTTGGTTGGACGTGATTTTATTGCTTCTACATCCACAATGAGAGTATAACAAATCTGTAGTCCATATTATTGAGGAGAATGGATAAAAACAGCCTTATTTTAAGATTTTGGTGTCAACTGCATAAAAATGCATTTAACATTATTAACAAGTCAAACATTTGTGCATGCAATCACAATGATGTCTCCACAATATTGTTGGCAGTTAGCATGGGTTCAGTATGTCAGTGAAGATGGACAAGGCAAAAAAAAAGTAGTGTAACACTTTTAACAGGTAACAAGGTGCAGGGAACACAAAACCCACAGTCAACAGTCTGGACAATGGACAAAGAAGCAGAATGGCCAGTTACTGTTGCTGCAGTGGACTGCATTCAAAAATAAAAAAGTTCAAGTGAGTTCAGCTTGCACTGTAAATGTACAGCTAAGTGCCTCTACAAGCTGTAATGTGCAAAATAAGACTCAGTCTCTTGAATCTGGATTGAAATATTTGACTTTAACAAAGGCATAAAAGGCACATACTATTTTACAATGTTCAGGTTTGAGTCTGTAGTTTTACTGTGGCCTGTACCCACCCAGCTGAGGCATATAGCTGGAGATGGGTGCTGTTTCCAACCACTCGTGGGATTGTGCATCATCAGACTCCCTGTCCTCTGAATCTTCTCCCGCTGGACAGAAGTCCAATGTCTTTGCCTCCATTTCCACCTGACTGGGGTTGTCAGAGTTCCCCTCACAATGACTGAGGCTTAAAGGAGGAAACCGCTGGGACTGTCTGCTGCCCTCTAGTGACAGCATGTCTGGATTCTCCTCTGACTCCAATAGGGGCTGTGTGGACTCAGACCTGGAAAATACAGCTTGCTGGGAAGGCAGGCTTGGTGTCTGGCCCTTGTATCCACTAGAGGCTACCACTGAAGAGTACTGCACAGTGCTGGCAGTTGTGTCAGCAACATCACCACCTTCATCACTGTCGGATACACTCTGCCGAGGTGAGGACATGCAGGAGGAGCCTCCGATACCGCTGCTGTGCTCCTCGGACATATATTTGTCCTTCTTAAGGGGAAGACAAGCCTTGTCCTCCTCAAAGACTGACTTCCCATCGCAAATATCCACATCAAGTACACTGATGCCAGACAGACAGTTTTCACTTGAAGTTTCAGCCTATTCACACAGGGCAAATAACTCATTATATTTGGTTCTACATGTGAATATAAACATTTGTCTGTCGAAAACAGAGATTTACATTAACAGTAAGAGGAGTAGCATCTTCAGCAAAGATTAAGACTGAAGTATTTTATTTTGTGACTGTATTCCATGTGCAAGTACCTTAATAGGATAATCAGGAGACCAGGTCCCAATAGTGCTTGCTCCAGGATTTGGAATTTGAGGCCAAAAACTTTCCTTGATGCTAAAATAATAAAAAACAAAAATGTCTAATCAAAACAGTACGGTCTATATTATAACATGAATAATTTGATATTTGCACTTACACATCTCTTTTACAGATGCAGATCAGCATGGTCAGAACAACAACGAATAAAAAGCACAGGCTCACTCCAACTACAATGCCCTCAATCTCACCAGGTGCTAAAGAGAAATAAATTAAAATAGAAGTTACCATCTGAAAAGAAATTAAACAACTGAGACAGTGGATACAATAATAAGAATAGTAAGATATTCTGATATTCCGATCTTTTTTTCTCATTTAAATTTTAGTCTTGAAGTAAGGAAAAAAAGACAAGACTAAGGGTATCTTTATTTCTAAAATGCAAGGCCTTCCAAACAATAAGAAATACAATCATCTTGATAAAATTGTTCGGAAGAAATCAATACAGATTGGACGTAGTCAGAAAGAGATAAAACATTCACAAAATATTCAGTGACAAAAACGTTATATACAGAGGAAAATATTTTCAGAGAAGTAAACATGAAGACTTTCCACTTACCATACTTGAGAGTGGTAAAGGAGTGGTTAGAGCCACGAGCAGAACCCTTGACGTTTGAAACAATGATCCACACATCGTATCTGGTGTTACGGGCCAGAGATTTCAGAGTATATGAAAGAGTGTCCCGTGAGACTGTGATAGCTGCAAAATGCGCATTCAAATGATCAATTCAAAGTTTCAATCTATAATATAAAAGATCATCCTAGAACCATACCTTCAGTTTTAGTCCCATCAGTGTAATAGATTGTGTAGTTTGAGATGTAGCCTCTCTGCTTGTCTCTAGGAAGTTCCTCCCATATCAAACGGGCCTCTGTAGATCCAGGCGTTCCATTGAGTTTAACAGAGGGCCCTTCCATTGGAGCTGTAACCACAATGTGTGACTATAATATGGCTAAGTATTTTGTTAAATTTTGAAATAATTATAAATAGAGAAATGTGCTGTATTTATTAATGCATGCATGAGTTACCTCCTTGTTCTAAATATGTTTCTACATGTAATGGTTTCCCAATCAATCCAGAGTAGAGAGGGTACACAGACACATTGTACCTAACAAACTTCTCAAGGTTTACTAAAAATACAAGTATAAAATATATAAATCAACTTTTTAATAATAAACAATTACATTAAAGCACCCAATAAGCTTACCTCGGATGCTAGTTTTCCTAATGTTCTTCTTCTCTCTCTGCCAGTCTATCTTACCAGCCCTGGTCCACTGCACCAAATACTCGGAAACTGCTGTACTGTTGGGAGCGATCCATTCAACAAACAGTTTCTCTGCCTGAGAATATACCTCTAACTTCTGCACTGGAGGGGGCACTAGAATTATACACACAGAAGATACATTTGTTATGGCACTCAAATACAATGGGCTACACACAATACACATCAATCATCAAACTGAAAGACTGTGTGAAGGCACAAACCATTTTCTTTTTCAGGGATCACAATTGTGGCCACTGGAGACTTGCCCTTTACATTGACAGCAGTGACTCTGACAACAAGAGTTATTTTTTCATTGAGGTGAATTTGCTTCAATTCAGTAATGTGCTTAGTGCTGCTGACTGCATTTGGATTAGTGACAGGGATCGTTTCCCACACATTTTTGTTTGGAGTTTGGAGTTTGGAGTCTTGAATGTTGATTTGATACTTTATTATCTTTCCATTGGCAAACTCAGGCTCCTGAAAAAGACACACAAAAATTGTATCACTTATGTTAAAAGCATTATTAATCAATATTTATTTTCTTTTGGCACATGTGATTATATACATATTTTTTCTTTCAATCAAATAAATGTCATTCACCTTACTGAGCAACAGTACATGTTGTCCATCTGCAGATTTACTTATATACCAGACATCAGGTTTACTTGTTGGTTCTGCAAAAATACAAACATTTAGGTTCTTGGGGTTATTCCATAAAGTAAGCTATAGCCTAAATCTGGCTTATTTGCACAATCCATGCTTGTCAAATCCTCAGTTCAGTTTCATTCCATCAAAGTGTCTAACCAGAGTTGGTGGAGAGTTGCCGTAGTAAAAAGCACCCTAACACAAACCTGGTTAGGACCAGGCTAACTGTCAAGATTATTTTAGCTTTGTCTCAAGATTGTCAAAAAACCCAACTACCACCAACTACCAACTACCAAACCCAACCCACTAAGTGATGGAATACCCTCCTTGTCAACAAGAGCAGTAAGTCTTAAAGTGACCCTTACTATACGTAGGTGTGCTTTTTGTTGAGTTGTTACTCCACTCGCTCCAGTAGCCATCCCTGTCATTTTTGCAGCGGACTTGAGTGATATAAACAGTGTCTGGTCGAAGGTTTTGAAGCCTGAAGGATTGTATGTCAATACTTGTGTCTGCTTGAGGCACCTAAAGGTGAAATAAATTATGTTCAATTATAAACATTTTAGAAATTGAGTTAAGCCAAACAAACAACCAAATATAAAAATAAATTAAAATAAAAAAATTAATTAAAAAATACTTACATAAGACCAGTTGTGGGAACCATTTGGTGCAAACCGAATTTCATAAATTAAATGCATATAAAATTTCTCAATTGGACGCGTCCAATTTAGCAGGAGCGATGTTGGAAAACTGTCCTCTGAAATTATACTGATGTTCAACGGAGGGTCTGTCTTTACTGGAAAAACAAACAGAGGGTCAGAACAGAAACTAAGATCAACCATTATCCCGAATCCATAGCCTGGCAATGACCACCTCCTCCTTTCTTCCTCCTCATTCAAATGCTAACCTAACTCAGTGGTTTTCCTGAGGCCCCTGTTGATTCTGTGCATGTGTGCTGTTCTGTCCACTGTATGAGGATTTTGTATTGTCTCATATGTATTGTTTCCTATTGTCTCTAAAAAGGCATTTAAATCCCACTGGTGTCTGAGGTAAAAGATCCCAAAAAATATCTCAGTGTTTTATGGATAAACAGACAAATGTATAGATTTGTATGGTACCACTGACATCTTTTGTCAGGGGATGAGGCCTTTTATTTTCCTAAATGGTTATTCTGCCAGGAAATCTTCAATCCATCAAATATACTAGATGTCTTTGTATAGAATTTGTCTCAGCTAAAGAATTCAAGCTTTACTTACTAACTGAATTGGCTTCTTTGTGTAGATGATCAGACTCCACTTTCCCAAGCACATTCTCTGCTTCTACCCAGATGTCCAGTGACAAAAAATGAGGAAAAATCTCTGTGTCTATAATAGCACTGCTCACATTTGTAGTATTAGTGAAGTTTTTGAAGCTGCAAGGAAAAAGTACATACACCTATGAAACAAAAGATTAATTGTATAGATCACACCAATTCTAACAATGTACTCACTTTACAACATGGACATTCACTCTGTAAATTGTGCTAAAATCTCCGGGTTGCTTTTGCTTTGGTTCCCATTCACAGAAGAGGAACTGAGAGACAGACCTTTCCTTTTGAATGGCCTTACAAGTCAGATTCTCTGGCTTTTTTGGGAAATCTAATCGAATATAATGAAAGTAAGTTATTATACAAAAAATATCACACAAATCCTGCATTGCTGCAGCTGGAAAAACAAAACTTACAGCCTTTTTTTAACTTGATGCCATGGAAATATTTCCATTGGTTGAGTTTGACATGTTCTGAATTTTTTTGGGTATCACAGAAGAGCCACTGAGGGGTTTCACTGGTGATTGTGATGGTAACATTAAGAGCAGTCTCACTGATCTTAGTATACTGCTCTGGAGGGATTCGTCTCTGACTGAGCTTCCAGAATAGGTCATTTGCTGTAACTTCAGTTGTGTTTCTGATAATACAGGTTGCTGTGAAGTTTGTCCCAATCTGCAGCTCTGGATCTTGTGGGGCAGTCACCAAATAGTGTACACTATCTAGAAAAAAAGAGAACAGATCTGAGGTAGAAAACATAACCAAGGAGATATGCTGTAGTACTAGAACTGTTAACAGTTCCACTAGGGGGCACAAAACCTCTCTCTATCTTTCTGTCCTTGTTTAAAATCAAAAGAGCCAACATGTGAACAGAATCATTTCTTTTGAGTTGTATTTACAACGTCACTTTATATGCTGTGGAACTAATTGAATTTATACAAACTGATCAAATGGTTTGTATATCACTGCAATCAGTTTGGATCATTATAACCCATAGGTCTATCAGTTAACCCTGTAGCAGAGTAAACTAATGTCAATTATGAGAGGAGGCAAGATTTTTGAGTCTGTCTGTTCATTGTAATTAAAGCTATATTCAGAAATTCAGGGGAAAAAATAGATGAATAATAATACTTTTTTTTTTTTACCACATCACCCAGCCCTATCCTTCAATGTATACTTGTTATAATTGTTATCAAGGATACTGCAGATCTGACAATCCACTTCGCTATAAATAGATTTTTACATTCAAGTACAAATCCAGTTAATTCACCTCAAATTACCTCAACAGGATTTGTATTTTTACAGACTCTTAGTAGTACGTGCAGTATTTTCAATGAAAAAAACAACTGTAAGTAATGAAGATGATTCTAAAAATAAAGTAGTTCAAGTAAACCTAAAGCATATATAATATACTGACCTTTGTGAGAGGCGATAACAGAGGCCAGACAGGCCAACACAACCAGCTGCACCACTCGTACAGCGACCATGATCCCGAAACACTAACAAATAAACACGATTAACAGTTCTATGTAACATGTTTCTAGTCTGATTTGTCTCTTGTACATGTAAAAACCATTAATGCCACATATTAACGTACATGTGAGCTAGTGTTTCCACACAGTTAGCGATGTTTTAGAAGAGACTATGAACGAATTTGCACTAGCATTTCTAGGTCACGTTGGTGTCGCAGTTGACGCCATGTTGCTCATGTAGTTGAATAAAAAATAATCTGAAGTTACTTACCACCAATGTTGAGTAGAAAATCTAAATTATCATTTTTTGGGGGGTAATAAATGGATAACACACGATGTCGGACATTTGGTTTAGACACTTGAGAACTAGTCTGACCATTGACGGGTAAGGAATGTAGTCCCACCCACTTCCCGTCAGGAGAGACCGCCTCTGTCGCAACTGTCTATGGCAGCGCCACTTTTCTGATTTGCAAATGTTGTGTGGAGTGGACCATGTTATGGACCAAATAAATCCCACACCCACGTTTACAGTGCTGTACTTTCTTTACAGATCTGCAAAAGACTGATCAGAAAATATGTTATTGTGGTCTGATGTCGGGTTGGGCGGAGGAGACGTCGCTGCGTTCACTTCCAGTATGTCTCCGCCCCCTTCATATTCTGGCAAGGTCTCAAGCAGTGTACAGGGCACTGATGCTGTAAATAAAGGGGATCCAACTAAATAATAATTGTAATAATTTGTCACTATAAAGGGACATGTAACATCAAGATTTTGAACTTATAACCCTGTTATAGAGCCTAATGTTCTCGCATTATTAGCTTACAGTTGTGTGTAGATGGATTTTTGCATGTTTGAGTACTGCATTTGAAACTTGAGGGCTCAGAAAAGGTATTTTTCACCTAGTCTCTATTTTCAACAAAATATTTTTCAACAATAAAGACAGATATACCCTAAAAATCAACTGCTGCTATAGTGAAATGACATTTTGAAGAGATAGGGATATGTTTGCAGTTTTGGACATAGCTGTGGTCTTATTAAGCCTTGATAGATTAATATTGCAGCATACAAGGAACAAGAACAAGGTTTCTGGACTCTTTGTTGTTTCATTTGTTTGGTTGGTTTTAAGAAAATAATAATAATCTTGTGATTACGTAGCAGGTATAGTCTTATTTGTTTTCCCTGACATGGTATGTCATTCCTGGAAATAAATACACACATTTCAGTCAATGCTTTTATTTTTTACATTCATTACATCTTCCAAACAAGTGCTTCAATGCCAAGTACAATAGTTATTCTTCCAGAATTATTTCAAAGAAAAGTGTACCACAGACAATTGAGGATAGTTATACTTGAGAGTTAAGGTGAGCATTAGGATCCCAATCGAAGATACTCTTGTTTGGTCTTGTTACATGGTTTATGTCAAACATCTATAGGTTGTTAAGCTCCATGAGAGTTTGATCCAATACCTGGTGCATTTCCAAGTTTTCTTCTTTGGCTTTGGCCAGTTTCTCTGGAAAAGTGGATAAAGTGGCATGATTTAAGAAACCTATATAGCCTGGCTTTAAAGAATCTATATAACAAAACAGCAACAATTCAAACTAGACTGACTCAAACACCAGTGTACCAACATTTATATTATAAACTTAGTGTATTAATTGTTATGTACTATGTACCCTATGGGTAACATCTTTATTAAGAATGCTTCTGGCTTAGTAACTATTTCATTTTTACTCTAACTAACTAGCCTAACCATTAGCCATTTTTACCCTAACTAACTAACCACCCCTCTAAATATTTAATAAACAAGTTGTACGATTAAGTCTTTTTTCATGCTTTATTAAGACAAATTAGGGTGTCAGTTAGTCCATATAAAGTGTAACCTATTAACCCCAGCATAACTTATTCACTTAGTGATTGATACAGAAAGAAAGGGACAGAAAAGAAACAAGGATTTAAAAGATTTATTTCAGATGGAGCAGGAAACATTAAGCAATTTAACAATAGGCAGTGTCTTTCAGAAAATGTGGCTGTATGTGCAATGACTCAGCCTTCTGTGGTGAAACACTTGTTGAGTAAGACAAAGATAACAGAAGAGTTCACGGAAGAGTGGGAGTTTCAAATCTAAGAGTGGAATGAGACAAGACAAGAGTACGAGCGGACAGCAGTGGACAGGGTGCAGCAGGAGGAGAACAGAGGAAGTTACGCCATTGTCATATCATTAAGAGCCAAGTCCAACTCCTCACTCAAAGCCTTGCCCTTCAGCTTCTGAGCATAAACTTCATCTGCAGGACACACAGACAATCAGGGAGAAGCACACACCAAGAGAAGAGACATCAGGATAAAGGATAGAGGGAAGAAAAGTTTAAGATGTATATTTACAGATTTATAATATCTCTGTACACCTAATTTTTTAATTTTTTAAATAAAACTTCACTGTTTTTACAGACTTATTTAAGCCTATAGCAGCTACTGTGTTTTACCTTCTAGATCGTCAATGGTCTTCTCCAGTTTGGCCACAGACCTCTCAGCAAACTCAGCACGAGTTTCAGCCTGAAACAAATTACAAATATGTAAAAAGGGTACAGAGTGTCACAAAGAAACATTGAGATGTTCGAAACTTACTTCCTTAAGTTTTTCAGTGAGAACTCTAATTTCCTCTTCATATTTGTCCTCCTTTTGTGAGTACTAAAATACAAAATAAGAAAACAGGATCAAAGACTGAATAGTATTCTGTATTGTCAATAAAACATTGCGTGATTTATAATAATTACTGTACAGAGAACAGTGATTCCCAACATAGGTCTCAAATCTGCCACTAGGGGTCACAAGAGGTACAGAGTGGGTAACCAATAGTTTTGAAAAGGAAGCGAAATGTAGCTGGTACATTGCAGCTCACATAACATTATAAAAAAAATGCTTGGTTTTAAATTTATTATCCAAAAAAATAAATTCAAATAATAAAAAATATTTCTTGCTTATTTTTTTCCTCGGGGCATGGGTGCTGTTGTCCAAAATATATGTCCTAAATATATGTCCCATGTGAAAGGAATGGGTTGGGAACCACTGTGTTTGTTTTATGTGTGTGTGTTGTGTGTGTGCGCATGTTTTGTTTCTTTAATACTACTTTTTTTTTTTTAACAGAGGCTGTACCTTCTCAGCCTGGGCCTCAAGGGACTTCAAGTTGTTGGTAACATTTTTCAGTTCTTCTTCAAGATCACCTGATTTACTATTATTTTAGGAAGAGAGAAAGCCAACAAAAGGGAAAGAGAGCAGATGAAGCCTAAAATAGAGTAATTCAAACACAACTAATAGTAGCACATCTTATGGGGAGGAGCATGCAGTGCATGACATTACTGATATCTTTGTTTACTGCATTATTTAACACATGCTTTTTAAGATTTAGCAAAAATGTTGTATGGGGTTGCACAATATGTGAAAATATGGGCAGATTTGTCTAAACCATGATAAGAATTGCAATTACTATATAACTGTGATAGTTTAATATACTTTTAATACAAAATGTGTTCAATTAAACAAAAATGTACATGGCTTATTTACTTCAAACTCTCTAAACCAAGACCAAAGCAAGGCTAAATTGATCATATATATTTATATTTTAATAAATAAAACCTTCTAACAGAAGATATTTAGTTTATTGCATTATCGATTATTGCAATATCAGTATTTTGTTTGATATACTGTGCAGCCCCTGTTCAGTGTTGAAAGTGAGCACAGAGAGTTAAAAGCAGAGGCAGCAGGTGATGGACATGTGGTTTTAGTGAGTTTATGAAGGACTTGTACCTCTTCCTCTCCACACATCATAGCCTTCAAATTCTGGTCCATAAGTCCAAGTTCCTCCTCCAGCTCCATCACACGACTGCAGCATTTAGTTTACAGCCAAGTGGGGTTAGTTAAGAAAGCAGTCATATTCACACAGACATACATAAAAAAAAAAAAAAAAGCAATCCACAAAAATTACATTTATTCATTAAGCCACAAGAAAAGTGAAGATGTTTGGCACAGATGTTAATTTAGCATGATTAATATTTTATGTGGGCTCTGGTGACAGTGTAAGTTTCACAGCACAGGTTTTGACTTACGCTTCAGCCACTTCAGCACGCTCTTCAGAACGCTCTAGATCACCCTCAAGAATCACCAGTTTGCGTGCTACCTGTGGACAGAACAATGCAGCAGAATTAATTTTAATTTCTCTCTTTCCTTCATGGGAAGTATTGTTACTAGTCTAATATTGTGTATAGGGGGAAATGCAGTGATAAAGCAGTGTGTGTATTGGTATAAAATTACTATTTAACCACAATTATTTATTAACAACATTCAGGCAACCTTCATCACCAACAACATCTACATTATCCCCCACCTCCTCATATTTGCGATCAGCTTCCTCAGCGATGTGTTTGGCCTCTTTAAGCTGCATCTCTTGGATCTCCATTTTCTCCTCATCTTTGGTGGCTCTGTTCTCTATGACCTTCATTCCTCTGTTTGATTGAAAGAACACAGCAATGCATCAGTGACAATTTATAAAAAAAAAAAAAAAAAAAAAAGTGAAATATTTGGTTTTAAAAGACTCTTTCAGACAGGGACATAGTGTTTGAGTAAGTAGTTCTACATTTTCTTGAGAAACAGATGCATCACAGTTAAAATCCCATGAGTTACAGTATCTGTCTATCTGTCATTATGCTTACATGACATTCGGAGGTGTCAAAAGTTCATTAACATTACACATCACTAATTCCTAATTCAATATACATTGACTATTTATGTGCACTGGACATGTGTTGATATTAGTCACTATAATGGGTCAGTCACCTTTCGCTCTCATCCGCAGCCTTTTCAGCCTCCTCAAGCTTCTGAAGAGCAGTAGCCAGCCTCTCTTGCGCTCTGTCCAACTCCTCCTCCACCAGCTGGATACGTCTGTTTAATGAAGCCACCTCAGCCTCGGCCTGCACACGCACAGAAACAGACAGTTACAGTGCTCAATTTCTAAACAGATGCCAGAGCACTCCCATTAAATATATAACATCAAATTAAGTACTAATTATAATCACTGATTAATACCATTAGCTAGACAGGAAAAATGTCCCTATATATAAGATTTAGCCTCAAATATGTCATCTGTCTGGACAACCAAAATGCAATCCCTGTCTGGGGTTGGGGCCACTTCTCCAGATCTCCATCATGGAATAAGCTATCTGAAAAAAGTGAACTGCCTGTCTGGCTTGAAGTTTTGACTGGAAAACATAATACAGGGGGAAATGCATGTGATGTGGCCTAACGTTATATTTTTAAGGCCAAACAATGTGACGTTCAAAAATGTGCTCACATACTTCTTTGGCATCCTCGGTATGGGATTATACACTTTTCTACTATTTAACATAACCTATAGTAACACGCCTCCACGATAAAGAAATAAATTCGATCAAGCGTCCCTCCACCACACAGTGTTACCGTCTCTCTGGCCTGTCTCTCCAGTTCTGCCTCCCTCTGAATGACCTCGGCTTGGTCCTCCGCATCGTACGCCACTTGTTGAAGTGACAGGATTTTCCTGCGCACAGAATCTACGGATTTGAAGGCTGCCATGAGGCTGATGAGTTAGATCTGGCGTTATTTCTGAGGTTCTTAGCGGCTCTGTCTGCAAGAGGAAAGTTGTGTCGCAGAGTTACCATGACAACGGGGTCAAAGGTGGCTGGGCATTTCATTTCCGGTTGCAAAATGAAATCGCCATCAGTCGCAGTCAGGTCGTTATTTAATGCTTATACGACATGGATCTATTGTTGTACGATAAAAAGAAATAAGATACGGATGGCATGTTAAAATCTCAAAGAGAAGATCATTTATAATAAACAATATAGAAAATTGTGTCATTTAAAGAGGCTACATGATGTGATATGTCTCAATGCGAGGCTTGTTTTAGTATTTTAGAATTTTGCATGTTTTTATTTGCTGTTTTTATCTGTTTTTGCTGTGGAGTTTTATTACATTTTTAAGCCTTCAGCACCGACCTATAACCCCGTAAAAACTGCAGCGTTTGGACGCGTAACTTTTAGAATGCATGGAAAGTTGAATGAGGGCGGCTCCACTGCGCGCGCTAGACGCGCGTATGGAGCAGCGCGTCATGCGCGCGTAGATTTCAGATAATAGGATCCATCCTATTTTTTGACGCTCTACGCGAGCGTAGGCGCGTATCCCCGTCAAAATACACAGAGAGCATGAATCTGTTGTTGTATTTGTGCGTTTACCATCAGCACAACGTGCTCCTGGGGCAGATCTGTGTCGTGTGAAAGACTCCAGATCCAGAAAGACTGTCAGTAAGTGCTTTAAAATTTACTTTTGAAATCCTCGCGTTTGCCGTGGTCAGCCTGTACAGAAGGTAAATACAAGTCTGTTCATCTGTTAGTTTCACTGTAGACCTGATACAAGTGGCTAAACGCGCCCAGTAAAGTTTGATCGCCTTTCCCATTGACAAACACAGAGCCAGTGTCGCGCGCGTACGTCCTGTTGCAGCTGCCAGTGTAACCGCCTTTGCGTGGACTTGCGGCTGTGGTTTCGCGAGGTTACGCGCGTAAACGCTGACGCGTGCAGTGGAGCCAGGCCCTAAATGTTTTACACGTGTTCGTGGTGCTCCAGCTCGATAGCCTTTGGCTATAGGCGAGCGATAGTGTGTGTTGCGTTGGGCGCTGCCAGGATAATTTCTTTGTCAAGGGCGCTGCGGTGGTTGTAGCGGCGTGGCGACGACACCGAGGGGACAGAGCGATAGGACGAGGGCTTCATCAGCAACCAAAGACGGGCACCACGACACTGAGTCCACCCAACGGCGGAGTGAGGAGCTCCGCCTTGCCCCTTAAGTGACGGCAGTTTTTGTCTGTAGGGATCGTGGGATGGATCAATCGACTGAAGATCGGACTCCCCTACATCGCACTACGAACTGCCCTCTCATTTTAACCCGGCCCACCTAGTGTTCTAACGCCTTTTTTAACTTTTTTTTCCCCTTTAAAAAATCCTTTAAAAACATGTAATTCATTTTTTTAAACCTTGTAATAAATTATTTATTATACTTTTATTCTCTGCGTTCTTTATTGGTGCTGCAGTGGCTATCTCCACTTGATTTTAACAGTTTACAGACATTTTAACTCAATGCGGCTTTTAATTTACATTTTAATAATGATAATCAAACCACTGGACAATACAATTATATTAAAGTCAGTCGTCTTTAGAAGCATTGTAGAAGTGTTGTAAGCTATAAAGTCATGATGAGCTTGTGTAGACTACATGAACTTGGAGTCTGCATAAGCTTAGAATCTAGTGTTGTTCCTTTGAGTTATGCGCTGGACTAGTGAGGAAGCAATAGGTCACTAAGGTAACGATTCACACATGACCCAAATGTTGGCAGTTCTACCCTCAGAGTAACTGGGTCTTTTGGCACACACCATACGCATATCAACACCTGCCTGCCTGTGTGATTTGAGAGGTCGTTGGTATCTAAAGACAGTTATGTTTGTCAGTCTGCAGTGTTGTAATTAGCTTATAACCCAACATGTTTTACTATTTATTTAGTGAGTGAGCATAATAATTTGATGTGACTGCCCAAAGACAGCACAGCAGGTTAAATTTGATAAAATATACAATGTCAATTTCACAAAACTCAGTATTTTTTAGGCTAGGTTTGATTTTAAAGTCACAGAAGTGTATGCCTCTTAAATAAAGGGGACCAAACTTTACTGTCCCACTTTACACATATTCAATTTTCCATGTTTAATTAATGCATAGCTCTGGTCGGAGACCACCACCATCACCCCCACACACATCTTCATGTAAAAAAGTAGATGTAAACAAAGTCCCGACTGCCACTTCTTTTCCTTTTTTGGTAACATCTCAGTAACAGGACAGTCCCTTTAGCCTTTTTAGGCCAAAATAAGAGTCTCTTCATCTCTTAGCTTTGCCTAAGACTGTTTTAGTTTATTACCTCTCTCTCCTCTTCATAATAACCTTAATATTAAACACATCTGCCATCTACAGTTATTCATGTTACTTTGAATTATATAAGCCTACCTGATATTGTGTAACATTACAACCCTTGTGGGATTATTTTGTCTATTTAGGCCTACCTGTTGAATTATTTACCTATTGATTTCTCATGAGTGAAGCTAGCAGACTACAAAAGGCTTAATGTTCACTAAGGATGTATAATCAGCCCCTCACTCACATCTGTAGCCTTCTTCTCCGCCTGCTCCAGCTTTTCCTGGGCATCCTTCAGGGACTCTGAGTATTTGTCCAGCTCATCCTCCACTCCCTTCAGCTTCTTCTGTAAACCCAGCAGCTCTTCCTCTAGCTAGGCCAGGAAAGTAGAGAAAGACACAAAAGACAAAACACATCAGCTTTTTATACAGTAAGTATACATACAATCATACTTACACATCTTCTCTCTGGCATAGATAATGAAATTTTGTCCTGAATGATTCAATTTCATACTTATTTCCTTGAGTACTTGAATTGTTTCCTAAAAATGAGTTCATAAAATTACTGGTCATTTATTTATTTAACTGAAATTATTTTTCATATTGTAACATCATCTTATATGATGAGAGAAACCATATAATTTACTTGGTAAATTGACATTGCATTAATGTACATAATGACAGACTTTTAAATGTCCCTTGAACAAATGTCATCCCCTCACTGTCTGCCCAGCTAATATCCATGTAAGGCCTCAGAGTCTCAAATAGCCTGACAGTTCTGATCCCACTGTCGGCATTGTGGCAGCAACCAAACTCTATGATGTCTCTTTGTGCAGAGCAACAATCCAAAGAAGGCGGGGGTCTTAGGGGACCACAGAAATAGACCCGCTGGTATATGATGATCCCAAAGAGAAGTGACTGCGGATGCACTGTAAAAGCTATGTAAAACCAGCCATCCACCGGGAACAAAAGCTATGTGGGCAGTTGAATAGTTGTCTATGAATAGATATTATTCTCATTGCAACTGCAATGATAGGACAACAGGTCATCCCCACAGACTTGGGGTGGAGTTGGGAAAGTGGCATAATTTTTAAAAAGCTATTTTATTTTATTTTATTTTATTGTATTTTGTTGGGCTAGTGATAGTGGAATCACCACATAGACTATTCTCAAAATAATTGTTCTCGGTAATACAAATAACTTGGAAATAACAACAGATGAATAAAAGAAGGCCTGCTTTTAAACATATTTTTATGAAATATTCTAATCTCGTTTCATTCAATAAAAATAAGATGACTGATTAGAAATGAATAGCCTAATTTAAACATATACAGTAACATTTTAGGTTTGAAACCGCCGCTTAAAGGTTTCACAAATGATCTATTTTTTCTATATTAAAACTCCATTAACGTAACCCGTCCCTCTATAGACACATTCAGGTGAGACGTGCGCTCTGCGGGCCCCACCTGTTTGCACTTGTCCTCTGCTCCTTTCTTGTCCACCTCTGCTTGTTCGGCCCGGTCTATGGCATTCTCCTTGTCCAGCTTCAGCATCTGCATTTTCTTCTTGATGGCCTCCATCTTTGCTCAGATTCAGTGATTTTCTACCAGAAGAAAAATACACGGAGCGCTGGGTTATCCAAACGGAGACAGAGGCTGCGGTCCTGGCTTGTCTGAGAGATCTTGGATGGAGTAGCAACTGGAGTAGCCCCATACTTTTTTTCTCACTGATCCCCACGAGGACATTGCCCTTATTTAGTCAGCGATTATAGTTCAGCCTCTGTGGGGCGTTTGACTTGCGTGTATAAATAAAGACCATCCGCCGAGAACAATTTCAAGCTAGGGCATGTTGAATGAATAAAATAACGTTAAATATGTCAGTATTTATTTATTTGCAGCAATCAAGAGTAAAGCAAGTAGATCAAGAGAGAGCAATTTGGACTAAAACTTTTTCCTCAGCATTATTTGGATCTATAACTATTCAAGTACAATAACCTACAAGAAGTGAGATAGAAAAACTTTTGTATATTCAAATCTGTGGAAATTTTGGTTGTCTGTATAATATTGCTAACATAAAATACAATAGGAAAATACCAAAAAGTTTATGAAGATTGTCTTTATTATATAGAAATTTTAGAGGATTTATGCCTCTGATGTGGCGCTGCATTTTACAAATACACATTTTGCCATGTGTCTCGTTTGTTCCAATGGAGCATTTTGGTCTTTAAGGCATACACTTTTAGGCAACAGAGAAACCATCAAATACATTTACTTTACACAAGGCTTCTGATACTGTAAAATATTACAGTAGGTAAATGAAACACTGGTAATAAACCAAAGACAGTCAATACAAGTTTAAAGTTAAATATATGGCTTTGTGGTTTGTATGTAGGGACATAATTATATTCTAGAGCTCATTGTACTAACATCAAAATGCTTAGCCTGCTATGTTATAGAAACCTCTTAATACATTTCATAAGTCTTAAAAATACTTTCCAATCTGTTGTTTCATTGCATAGTTACTTATTGCTAATATAGACAAACATTGAAAGGTTAAATTAAATTACAAACAGTATGACAAGTTGCAGTCTGAATATCATTACTGTCTGTGTCTTAAAATAATACTTTCTTGTGTGTGCATAGTTCATTTGCATAAAACATTAAAGCATTGTTTCAGTTACTCAAAACATTTACACAAAGAGATAAGATATTCCAATAGAAAAAGTACTATACTAATGCAAAACAATTGAAAGATTTAACATTTGAAAGATATGTTCATACAAACTATGAATGAATAATGCTTACATTGTATAATTGTTTATCAAATCGCTGTAGCCATGGTTTGCCCATTATATATCCACCATATGTTATGTTTGAGTTGAAGCATAGAGTCAGCAGAAAAAGGAGTGTCTTATGGATTATCGTTGTATTTCTCTCTGCCCTATACTTGCTCACTGGTCCTCGCCATCCTCTCTCAGCTCAGAGGGGAGGAACTTGTACTGCTGTTGTCGGATCATTGCCAGCTTTTTCCTGGCTTCATCCAACTCCCTTTCTTTCCTCAACATTTCCTCCTGGGCAGCAATGATCTGTAAAAAAAAAAATAATAATAATAATTTACAGTATGGAAAAAATTTGACTAGTTAAACCAATAATTTCAGTGTTCAACTTACCTGAGCTATCCCACCAACCATCTTGCTCTTGACCACCACAGCCTGGTCATCCTCGGCCTCAAAAGCTGCTTTCTGTGCTGCTTTTACTAGGTTGTCAGATGCCCTCTTCACAGCATTTCCAGCAGCCTAGCAAAAGGTTTTATAACATATTCATCATGAGTTACAGCTACTTAATAAAGCATTTTCAAACAAGTGTGTATAGTGTAGACAGTGTAGACTGTAGACTTGTGGCAGCAACAACAGGCCCAGGAAAGGAAATGTTCACTACTAACACACTGTTTTTTTTCTCCTGAGCATGAGTATATCTGTAAAAGGCAAGAGCTGTCTACTGAATGGAACTCAAGGCCAAACATTTATTTCATTGGACCTCTCCATTCCAACAAAGAGGGACATTTTCTCCTTTTGCGGCTTGGGGGGGCTGAGCTGAGAAAGTCTGTCCTGGTAAGACAAACTTTACTAAGAACACATTGGCTGGTTCATATTTGCCAAGAATGTTACCGTTTGGCCATATCTCATATTCAACACGATAACACTGTCAAACTTTCTCTATTCAAAAGGCAACAAGTCTGAACAAATAGTGAAAGCATAAAAAATATTAGAGTGACCCTTTGTTGTCGTCAATACTGGCATTTGTATAGAACTACCATTGAAAACTATGTCAGTTTTATGTGCATTTGTTGTTGCTTCAAATGGAACATAATAATCAACAGCACACTTGATAATTGTAGCCTTAAAAAGCATCACGGCAAAGAGTGAAGAGAGCAAATGCTGCTGCTGAGAGTAATCATAGATCAAGGCTAATGTTTCCAGCTCAAGGTGCCATGGCCTGATTGGTGGATTGTTTCCAGAGGGCTCATAGACATAAATGTATGGGAATTACTGTGGTGGCAGCTGCAAGCCCAGAAGAGGAGGAGATAAGCCACTGCTGATTGGACCAGTGAATATGAGCTGGGCAAGGCAGCCTGATGTGCTCACCACTAGAATACATCAGTTATTAAATATAGTGTTTTGGACTGACTGCATTCGCTACAAATAAAGGTCAAATAAGCAGTAATTGGTAAAACTAAAAGTATTTAACAATAATGTGATACAATAAATAATTAGTTAGCTGTTTACACCATTCAATACTGTCCTCATAGTGCTTGGTTATGTATTTATTACAGTGATCTTAAAAGAAAAGCTGGAAAGAAAGTATGATTATGAAGGTTCCAACACTCCACTTCTTAATGTTGTAGTTGTTTACAAACACTCTGTTAATAACTAAATAACTAATAAATTGAATGCTTAATACAACATACCAATTTAGTACAAGATAAACTTTTCACAGGGACACAGGGTTTTTGTTTACTCGGCATGTCGCAGCTATATATCATTACTGACACATAAGTATCGTACTTGTCAGAATGCATTTGTTAGTATTAATTGTCAGTTTGAGAAGGCAGGATAAGAGGGTTTTAAGACAACTTTGATCTTAACACTAGCTTTTATGCTTAACAGCATTCTTGCTGTAGTTCCCTTTAATTATCTTCTCCAAACTGAAGTAATTATTATTCATCAGTGGTTTTGTTACTGCTCAAGACTTCAGCTTCAAGGCAAAACAAAGCAAACTAAACAAGATTGAATCAGTTTGCTTTATGAACATGCAGATGTTTGGAGACACCAAAGCATAACATAACAACACGTATTACAGTATCAGTGGAGCTTTTCTAGATGTTAAAATGTAGTGCCAACCTGTAGCCTCTTCATTGTCTGGGAGTCCTGGTCAGCCTTGACCTTGCAGGCCACCAGGAGCTGGGCAGTTGAGGCTGCCACCTGCTTAGCAGAAGAGATGAGCTTCTCCTCACTGGCGTGGCCTTGGACCGCGGAATTAGCCGCTTCACACAAGTTGTTTGTTGCCGCCGCAACCATACGAGCCTGAGAAGCAAACAATAGTTCAGGTGGTTTTTGATGATTGATGTTTCACAGTTAGATTTGATAATAAACTTACAGCAGAAATAAGGCCTTGTGACCACTGTCCATCATCCACTGCATTGGCAGGAATTGCTCCCACCTATAAAAACATAAAAGCTTAGCCCCACATAAGTTATATAGTAATGAAACATACATACATGGGACAACATATTTGAGTTGTTAATATTAAATGTGTTAATTTAGCAAAATCATTCATCCTACCAAGCAGTTGTGTTATAATCAACAGTAAACTGACAATTTACTGTCTAAATTGGATATTAAAATATTAGAAAATATATGTACTTAATATGCATAATAATCCATTAGTTATTGAAATGTATGATATTTAAGAGCTGTGAAACATAAGTTTGGGATGGAGTGTGGAAGTGTTTTTAGCACCACATCATGGTGTGAGGTGATTAAGACATACCTTTCCTTGTGCCACCAGCTCCCTCTGCGCGGCTGAGGCAGCTTTGACCAGGGCACTGGTGGCAGCTGCAATAGACTTGGCTGCTTCAAGAATCTGTTCCTCAAAGTTCAAGCTCTCATCTGCCTCCTGAGTATGAAAAGAGACTTTTAGTTACGTGAGCTATCTCAAAACAGCAAAGGGAGCATGAGCAAACAAAGCCTCAGGCCGGCGTGCTAACAAGGTAAAGACAGGTACAGTTTATCGGTGTGAAGAGGTTATACCCTAAACATTTGACCCTGTGCTGAGGCTAAGAAGCTCACTGTCAAGACTCTGCTCTGTAAAAAGCTCTATGACCTTGGGTTTGGTCCTTGGCCTCAGCTGCTCCAGTTTCTTGGCAGCGGCTTCAATGGCTGCGGCTGCTCCCAGCAGTTCATTCTCTGCAATAACAGTGGGATCCTCGGGATCCACCCACTCAGTGCCTGGATTAAAAAAAGAAAAGAAACAAAAACACATAAAAACACAATATTGACACCTGCATTCCATTTATAAACATATATTTGTTAGCTGCAGTTGAAACAATTGTTACTGTTATGAAGTGTAAAAAAATGCAATAAATTTATTTGGTTTATGTAATTACCATATTCCATTATTGAACTGAATGTACTGAATAGTATAGTATAATGTACAAGGCCATGTTACTGCTTATCATTATCGCAACACAGACTTGATGACTGAATGACGTAAGGGGCCTCCAAGTGTGATCCAGCAGGTTTCAGTTGCATATAATGTCTCTAAACTGAGCAGGGACTCCTCTAGAGTGATGGGGAATTTCCTGCCTCCATTTGACACATGATCATGCGTTGAATCACACCAGGTATGTGGTACTTTAGCTTGAAGCAAGAGACCTCCCAACAGCGCTGTCTGAAACTGTAGAAGTTTACAAGGGGCACTGCCTAATCCCTCTTCAGGTTACTGTCAGAGTCATTTGCATTCATGACTCTAAATCTGGTTGGTTTGTTTTGAGCATGACAAACCCAAGTCCAACCTCTAGTAGGAATATTTACACTATAAATCTTTGGTAAATCTATACTAGATATTTGTTGTATTGAGGTAACAGTAGAAGTGTGAAGATACCTTTCATAGCCTCTGCTGCCTGGATAAGCTCTGTGACAGAGTTTGCCACTTTCTTCGAGTAGTTGGCCAGCTGCTGCTTCAGATCATGTGTGGGCTTTTGGATGATCTATGATAATCAACACAGGAAACAAATCAATACACTAATCCAAATAAAATAGTGATACTTTTTGTACAGAACAAATGTATGGGATAATTTGTAAAAACTTTTTTGACCAAACAAATATAGTTACTATATACACAAAATACAGATCCCCTCCAGATGTTGTGACATATTGGATTTGAAGATTGAATATCTTCATAATGATATTGTTTCAACATTTCTTTTAGTATCAGTTATGAATAATATCTGAAGTTGATTTACTTTTAAATGGGATATATTATGTTAAATCAACTTCTATGAGCTTTAAACCATGTTAACAGCATTTCTTCATCATTAGATTACAGGAAATAGAAAAATGATTTTGAATAATTTATGTGTGTTTGAATAATTCTGTATTGTCCGGTATTTGAGTGTCAAGTGCTAAGAAAATTGATAAGCAGTGAACTCATGGCTATTTTTCAAAATAAAATACAGATAAATGAATATTCACTGCTTGTTTCACTATGTAGGATGTAGGGTCTATCTACTTTCTACTATTAAACTTTAAGTCAATATTGTGGTTTATAGTAAACAAAATGTAAAATAAAGATCTGCTTACGTTATAGTGTAATAATAAATACCCCTACAAAAGCATATTATGTCACCTATAATTGAATTACAATGTTAGTGGTAGCCAATGACCTCAGGCCATCTAAGGTTGATATACAGTTTATATTCAGGTTGGAGAGGAGAGTGACAGGTGCAGAGTATTAACAGGGCTCGCCGCTGCCATGCCTGGGTTTATCCTGATGCGTTGTCATGAGAAAATAAAGTTCAGACGTAACAACACAAGAATGCATGCCACAAGCCAGACAAACTTACACACATAGAACAGACATAGAATACACAAAAACTGAATTGTGCCAACTTACTTAGTCCACGTGATTTACTGCAGCAGTGAAATAATGCAGTAAGAAAAAGTCCATGCATGTTATAATGGTCACTTTTTATCATTAGCACTTTATTAATTATTATTTTGATATAACAGGACAATAAACTTTCAGGTCCCTAGAAGTATCACTATTCTGCCATATTTGCATACATTTCAACACACCTTCCTATAACAATTGAATGTCTCAAAATGTTTGACTTCTACTGTAAATTATAGTAGACCCGTGTAGGAGATAACACAAAGTAAACAGCCGTCATACTTCACACACAGGTTAGTAGTGATGTGTACTCACCGGCTTGCACCAAAATCAATGAGTCACGGGTTTAATGAGATTTAACAGAGCAGAAAAGAAAAAGAAGAACTTGTGACATGAAAACAAGGAAAGTAGTAATAAGGATGAGAATAGGTTTAAAATAAAACAGACAGCAGGTGTCTGAAAGTATAATGTAATAATTTTAAAAGTTGTCTTACCACCAACACATGCTCCAAAAGACCCAAATATCCAGTGGCACATTCATTCCCATAGCGGAGAGCTCTCATTTGCACATCCCTGTTGACCTCTGGATGATAGGCAGCCTCCTGTAAGTGCAATACAAACATATTAGATCCATATGATAATGAATTGTTCCATAGATCAACTCCCAGGTCCATGTTAAAATCTATGCCAAAAGAGCAGATACTTGTTACATTTGGGCTTAAACCTAATTTTATTTATTTTATATTTTATCACAGAGGCAGTATAACTGACCATACCTATACCAGCTACTTAAGATCTCTGGCAAAGTTTAGTTGCTACTAGTGATTGTAATTATGCAAGAATAATAATATAATAAATTACAATGCAAGAGAATGGACTGCTAACTTTAAATAACTTTTCTATACTGCTGCTGAAAAACAGAATTTCTTCAGGATCAATATAGTATCTATCTATCTATCCTAGCCATACATACATAGTACACACACTAAAGACCAAAAACCTCTGCATTTGTGATCTGTATTGTCTACCTTGCAGGAGTGTAGCATATCAGCAATGGCTCTTCGGCTAAGGTTAGCTGTGGCAATGATGTCCTCTTGACGACACGAGTTACCAGCAGCCACCGCCTTTGCTGTTGCCATGGTAATTCCTTTCGTCATTCGAATAAACTCTTCGGGTGTTGTTGTCTTTGGTGGAGGATCAGAGCTGCTGAATACCTATTGACACAAACAATATACAACTGTTTAAACTTTCAGTATGAACATTTGAAAAGCATGTGCCATTTTACAGGTATGTTGCATGTGGCAAATGTGTATAATTTCGGTTGCAAAAATGAAAATAAGAGTGTCAGTGCCTGTGTGTACCTCTTCCACTCCTCATATTGTAAATGGGTGACATGAGATTACATTCTGCTAAGTAAATAGTTACTTACAGCCAGCTCTTGCTTAATATGTTCAATTGTGGCCTCTAAAGCTCTGGTGCCCTTTGTGGCTTCATCCTCCACTGCCTTTACAGTCTTTAGGAGTGATGTCACATTGGTAACCATCACCTAAAACAGTAATAAAAAACATTAAATGCAAGTTATAATGCTTTCTTCATTGAGTATACAGCGTAGTATTAAGCTTTGGGGTATTACCTTTGCAGAGTTCTTTAGCTGAAGCATGCTGGGGTCATCATGAGGTTTGCCCGCAGCTGCCTTTGTCGCACTAATAAGATTTCCAA